ATTACCTTCTGAAGTGTGATGAACATAAACACCATACTCCATCTCACATTTCTGAAACCCTTGTTCCTTAAAAAAGCGAATCAATTTTCAAATTCCAAGCTCTGGGCGCTTGCTTCAATCCATACAAAGCTTTGTGTAATTTGAACACCATCCCTTCCTGATTTTTTTTTCTCAAATCCAGGAGGTTGTGAGACATACACCTCTTCTTGTAATGGACCATTCAAAAATGCAGATTTTACATCTTAATGCATCAGAGGCCAATTCCTATTAGCAGCTATTGCAATCACTAGTCTGATTGTTTCATGTCTCGCCACAGGTGCAAACACTTCAAAGTAATTCAGCCCAGACTTCTGTAGAAAGCCTCTTGCTGCTAATCTCGCTTTGTGTTTGCCAATTGATCCATCTGGATTTAGCTTCTGCTTGAAAACCCATCTGACGCTGATGGCTTTCTTACCTTTTGGAAGTTCTATCAACTTCCAAGTCTTGTTTCTCTCTATAGCATCAAGTTCTTCTTTCATGGCCTGTAACCAAACTTGCTGCTTAAGAGCCTCTTCCGTACTCACGGGTTCAGAGTCAACTAACATTGCACACTGAATAACTTCTCCTTCAGCGTCTACTTCAGTGTCTTGCAACATGTCAAACTCTGCAAATCTTCTTGGGATGCTTTTGACTCTTTGTTGCCTCTGAACTGGACCTTCAGAACTTTGAACACCAGAACTTCCCCTTCATAAGCACTTGCTTCAGAAATTGGACTTTCTCCAGAACCTTGATTGTCTTCAGAGTCTGGATCACCATCGGAGTCAGAGTCAGAATCATCTTCTCCTTCTGTATCTTCTTCAGAGTCAGAGTCTTTACCGGATTCAGAAACATGTATTTCTGACCTTTCTTCAGAAGTTCTGTCATCAGAGTCAGGACGAGACTTTTCCCAATTCCAAACTTCTGATTCCTCTACAATGACGTCTCTGCTGAACTCAATTTTGTTAGTTTCTGGACAATAAAGTTTGTACGAACCTGTACTGTGATACCCCACCAGCAACATCACTTTACTTCTATCATCCAGCTTCTGGCTTCAGGGACATGCTTGTAACATACAAAACCAAATATTTACTGATAGCTTCAAAAATAAGGATTTACAATTAATTACAATAACCTACTCCACTAGGCTATTTATACACACAAATTAAATCTAAAATATATCTTCTACAAAGATATAAGAAGATCTAAGATTTATATCTTCTAACAAAGATATAAACAATCTAAAAGATATTTCTAAATATAAATTAATATCTAATTAAATCTAAACAAATTCTAACAAAAACAACTTTTTTAAATGGTGACTTAGAAGAAGAAATCTATATGGAACAACCGGAAGGTTTTGTGATCTATGGACAAAAAAACAAGGTCTGTAAGTTAAATAAGTCTTTGTATGGACTAAAACAAGCTCCTAAGCAATGGCATGAAAATTTTGATAACTTAATGATATCAAATGGGTACCAAGTGAATGAAAGTGACAAATGCGTTTACTATAAATCTAAGAATCGCATATACACTATCATATGTCTTTATGTAGACGATCTACTCATATTTGGATCAAACATTCAGACCATTAATGATGTGTAATCACTATTATGCAACAACTTTGATATGAAAGACCTCGGAGAAGCAAGTGTGATCCTTGGTATCAAGATCACGAGATTCGAACAAGGAATTTCTTTGGATCAATCACACTATGTGTAGAAGATCTTAAAGAAATATAATTACTTTGACTGTAAACCTACATGCACACCATATGATCCAAGTGTGAAACTGTTTAAGAACACTGGAGAAAGTGTCAGACAATCAGAATATGCGAGTATCATTGGCAGTCTTAGGTATGCCACTAATTGTACTAGACCCGACATTGCATATGTCGTAAGATTGTTATGCAGGTTTACGAGTAGACCGAGTAAAGAGCACCGACAAGCTATTGAACGAGTCATGAGGTACCTCAAAAGGACCATGGATCTCGGCCTACATTATCAGAAGTTTCCTGCTGTACTAGAAGGGTACAATGATGCAGATTGGAATACTTTGTCAGATGATTCCAAAGCTACTAGTGGCTATATATTTAATATAGCTGGAGGAACTGTATCTTGGAAATCAAAGAAACAAACTATCCTAACTCAGTCCACAATGGAATCTGAGATGATAGCACTAGCCACAGCTAGTGAAGAAGCAAGTTGGTTGAGATGCTTACTAGCTGAGATCCCTTTATGGAAAAAACCTATGCCAGCTGTGTTGATCCACTGCGATAGTACCGCGGCTATTGCAAAAATTGAGAATCGTTATTATAATGGTAAAAGACGTCAAATAAGAAGAAAGCACAGCACTGTCAGAGACTGTATCTCTAAAGGAGCTGTAAGAGTGGATCATATACGCACTGATGAAAACTTAGCAGATCCTTTGACGAAAGGATTAGATAGAGAGAAAGTCCATAATACATCCAAGAAGATGGGACTAATGCCTATAAAGAAATGAGTTACTCATGATGGTAACCCGACCTAGATGACTGGAGATCCTAAGAAATAGGTTCAATGGATAATAACAAGTTATGAGCAATATGAGATGATCATGCAAGTAAAGCATGAATCCTGAAGTAATAAGAGGATGAGATAATAGAAGCTCTTAATGAGATCTATACTCTATATGAGGGAGTACCTAGGTTACAGGAGTACTCTTGATAGACTCACCGTTGTGATTGTGGAACTTGGGTCGGTTCCTATGGAATTGCGAGGCAGAATTCCTAGAGCCTTCACTAAACCGGGATACACGTGCAGGGCCATTAAAGCACGGGCTATTAGAATACACCTTAAGAAAAGGTTGTGTGCGGGTCTGATGTCTGAGATAGAGTTTAAGACAATAGTGTCACTCTTGTTGAATCGGAATCCTACTTGCTACGCAAAGGTTCAAGTCGTAGACACCTTTGCTTATGCACAATCTTAGAAACGTTTGACGTACTTCTAAAATCACCTTTTAAATTCAAGTGGTGGATTGTTGGAAATATTGGTATGATGTTAACTTAGAGTGGGAGTTGGAATGTTTTATTGACATTAAATGGGCAATAAATGAGCACAAGTAAGAACTAGTATGGAAGTGAATTTGAAAAGATTCATTTTAGTCCCACATAGGAGGGATTATAAATATTAGTAGTGTATATATATATATATATATATATATATATATATATATATATATATATATATATATATATATTTCAACTTGGCCAATTGGGTTGGGCTCCAAGGGGCACCCCAATTTTGTAAAGGAGTGAGGACACACCCATAAGCCATCTAGACACACACGCGTGCGCCGCCGTCTGTCCGACCGGCTCGGTTCGGTCTGGTCCGGTCTAGATGAATTAATTTTTTGGAATCCAAATTAGTGGAAATTAATTATTATTAGTTAATTAATTCGGTGGAAATTAATTAATATTAATTAATTACGAAATGGTGACGTGTCCTGCACAGAAACCAAGTCTTAACCTATTTTTTGACTGGTTATGCTTGCCCTCCAAGAGTCCGTGCGACTTGCTAACCAAGTGAAATAACGGCTACATTTGACTGGGCCAATTCCACTATCTCCCACGATTTTAATCCACTATACTTGTTCCATTCAGTTGGACTCTTTGCCTATAAATTGAATTTTTCAGTTCATTTGATATATACCAAAATTTGCAATATTGAATTCTCTCTTCTCTCTCTCTACTCTGCTTCATCTTCAACATTTCTTTTTCTGTTTTTCGACTGGAATTTTCCAGATACTACGACTGATTATTTATCATCCGAAGGTGTGATTCTACGAACGATTAATTACAATGCAAGTAATTATCGTATTTCTGAACGGGCTATTTTATCCTGGAGACATCGTCGAAACTCGACTGCTTTGCATAACTATTGACAGTACGACGAAACGTCTTAAAGAAAGCGACCTAGTACGCGACTCGTCCCGATAATTTTCTTTTGTGGCATTTTTCAAAACCAGAACTTACAGTTTTATTCAACCAACATCGCTTTTCACAAGTCTTCATACCTATACAATGTATACATACGATTTTGTGCGATACATATTTAAACATGTGACTCGGTTCAGTTTACTCTAAAAACACTAAACCAAAAGAATGGGCAATGAAATCAAACCATGTGGTTTTGTTGAACTAGTTTACTCAGTTTGTTTGATACTCCTATGTGATCAGTATTATGTTATGCTTTCCCAGGCTTATCACATAGTCACATACTAAATTGTAGCAATATGATCTAGCATCTCCTTCACACCATTGAAAAGAAATCTTTTGGCTGTTGCTGATGGCTCCTTTCCATCACACACAATAGAATGTAATAACTACAAATTTGAGGTGATTCTAGCAGGCTATTACATTTTGGCTTTATTTGCAATTACATTTCCTCCAATTCGTTCTATAACAGTTATCAGAACAAGCAAAAGACTCGAAATGTCAATACAAACGGTTTTTTCACTTTTTTTCACAACAGGATGTAACAACTACAAATTTTAGGTGATTTTCGCAGGCAATAACATTTTGGCTTTATTTGCAATTACATTTCCTCCAATATGTTCTAACAGTTATCAGCACAAGCGAAAGACGCTGTATATCAATACAAAGGTTTTTTTTCCACTGTTTTCAATTGTTAGTGTTGATATATATATATATATATATATATATATATATATATATATATATATATATATATATATATATATATATATATATATATATATATATATATATATATATATATATAGTGTTAAGAATATTTGTATGTAGAATAGTCCCACATCGACTATATCATAGCATTAGTTATAATCTCTCTATATATAATAAAGTCTCCGTAGTGCTTTTCAAAACACACGGTTTAACCTAAATGTCTCTTAGTCTCTCATAGTTCAACAGTTAGATTTGTAAATGATATTTTTCAGGAAAACTTTATGTTATTTTAAGGTCGTACCTGGAAAGTTGTGTTCTGGTCGGACCAAACAGCTCGCTCTATCGAAAGCGGAGTTCTTGTAGAAAATAGCAACATTTCCAACTTATCTACTGTGATTTCTACTCGGCTTGCTATTTCTTCTTTGGTAGGGTTAAGGTTTCCTTCTTTAATGTACGATTTCTTTGCTTTCGCGATTTTACCCAAAAGGATGTAAAAAGTCTCCTGAAAATAGTATGTTGGTACCATGTTAAAGAAAATAGAAATGATCTTTGCTTTACAAATAACATATTAGGAATAAATTGTGATGCACTATGGAGGACAGACTTCGACACGGACACTCCGACACCGATATGTCAAAAACCTAGGTCACCGACACCGCTATATATGTCATGGTATTTGAGTTTTATTTATTCATCTAATATCAAAAGAGTTAAAGATATTCTAATCAAAATTAATGTCTTAGATTCTTCATTGATAACATTGCTTCAATACATGTTTAACCCTTTTAATTGTGCGTGAGATTTGTCTAAAAAATGTATGAAGTGTGTTGAGGAAAAGAAAAACACAATTTTTTTAAAGAAAACTTGTCTGAATTATCAGACACGTGTTGTATGAGTGTCATATGGGTATTGGACACCGATTCAAAATGTGTTGAAGCAAAGAAAAAAAAAACAATTTTTTAGGGACACTTGTCTGACTTTTCCGACACTTATTTGACTTTTCGGACATATGTCATACGGGTGTCATACAAGGGTCCCTAAAAAATTGTAATGTTATTTTAGAGGTGTCCGTGCTTCATAGGTGATGCAATAGTAATGTTATTTTATTCTTTGTTCATATACAACAAACTCATGAATACTGACAATTTACATTTCAAAAGGAGGAAAAGTGCTTAAGTTTAGCTAACTAGATTATAAAGAAATGAACTAATTATTTTTACCGGAAGACGAACTGTTTTGGAATGCAGATATATGGCCGTCCTTATTGTTTGCCTTATCCACCAGTAAGCATAAGTACTGAACCGGCAACCAGGTCGGGGTTTGAACTTTTCGACACTCCTCATAAGGCCCATACTTCCCTCCTATAACAAATATCACCAGAAAAGCAATGTAAAAAATGTAGGTTCTAATCTTGTCATTATGATAATTACTGTAACAGTTCTAAATAAATAAATAATAGAGATCCTTTAACTGAAGCTTTCCCCTACAATTGCAGCTCTGACTTTAGCCAAACATTTATTTTGCGAGTTTTCTTAGTTCAGGTATAATTTAGAACACATATATGGCAAACTAAGTATTAACTACGGATATATGGATTAGGAATGAAATACAAACTGATTTTGGTAGTGAGGGATACCTGCAATAAGTCCTGAAAGTTGAGACCACGCTTCAGATAATATTTAGCAACGTGAACTACCAGGCGTAAGTTGGCATGAATCAGCTTATCTTTGCTTTTATTACCAGATCGAAGCCGTGCCTGAAGGACACGGCAGCTTAGGCCTACACAGTCTGCCCATTCGTACAAAGTTGGTTCTCTCCCAAACTGAGACTGAAGCTTGATCTTTGTTTCTTTCAATTTAAATAAATCCTGTTGCATGTTCCACATTATGGCAAAAGAAGTTCCTTAATTGAGCATACAAAACATTTTAATGAAACATGGAATTCTTAGTAACACCTGTATCTGAGCAATCAATTGAGACTCTTCTTCAAGGTTCAAACGTTGCTTTGTTTCAGGACTCCATAAGAACAAGCGCAAAGCATCATTTCCTCCAAGCCCTTTTAACTTTTTCTCTACTTGTAACCTTCTCTGTGCATCAGATTTTTTTGTAAGGAACCTTTCTTCGTCCAGAATTTTTGAGTTTGAGACTTTTCTCTGTATAGATTGCCTTTCTTTAAGCCGTGTTGACTTCACGATTTTATTCTTTCCAATTGAAGAGTCAGCCAAACTTGCGAAGGCCAGAATAAATTGCAAATTTTAGATATTAATCACAACAAAGTATCCTGTGAATAGATAAATACCAAATCAAGAATGCAAAGTTAACACCACAAAGCTGGAACTAACCCGAGAGGTGATGAATCATTACCATCGTCAATTTTAATCAATTTCAACTCTTCAGCCACTACAGCGGCCTGTTTTGAGGCTGATAGGGCTTGCTTGGCAAGAGAAAGTGCATTCCATTGGAAATCATCAGCAGGCTGCATAGTTGAAGAAGAAGAAGAAGAAGAAAAAACAAAATCCTCTTCCGTCGAAGAAGCCAATCTGAATTACACAATACAAAATCCCTATTAAGAAGCCAACTTTGGATGTGTAAAAATTCCAATTAGCAATTACAACTGTAAAACTAGCACAAGTGCAAGCAAATCAATTTATCTTACAAGTTCTGTAAATGACACCGAAGATGCAATTCCCGCATAGAGTTATCTGCCGACTCATCAACATCGCCAACATTGTTTTTCTCTGGAACTAACATCACATCCATTGCCCTTGTATTTAAGGCTGCCTTCGGTAAAATAAAAGGAATATAAATTAATAAATGTACAACGGGAACATTACATTACACGCGTCAACTAAAAGGGTCTAGAAACTAGAAAGAATGATAAAAGTATCCGATTATATGCTTTTTAAGAGAGACGAGTTTGACGAAATTTGTATGCAAACAAAACCTGAACCTGGGGTGTCTTGTCTTCTTTATGCATATGAAGTATTGGCCTATATTCTTCGCCATGCTCTTGCAGAAGAACTGAGGTAGGAAAACAATGAGCAGTAAAACTAGAAGGTAAAGAAGAAACTGCAAGAGTAGCTTGCTCATGAAGCATCATAACTGCACAAAATACAACACAGCAGCTCAATGGAAAATGCAGAAATGGTATTTCAACATCAAGACAGCAAAACTAAACAACTTTTCAAATGGTTAATGACGTGTTAACCACATGGCTCTGTATGGCTATGTGGTGACGTTACCGCAATCATTGTTGCGACACCTGTAACGGCCGCGTTCGCCATTAAGATTCCGAGGATAAAATTCTTGAATGTGTGTGATTAGATACGACACAAATTACAAAATCTATAAATTATAACTGAATTACAAATTTCTTGGAAGAAAGAAAAGAAAAGAAAAGGAACAAGTTTACCTGAAGAAGAAGGAAGAATTCTAGAAGGAAATGACGTGGACGGAAAAAACATGGTGATAGATTTCGCTCCTTTTATTACAATGATTACAAGGAACACGAGAAGGAAGAGTTCTAGACGAGGCTTTGTTTTTCACACTTTAACGCTCAACCTCAACTTCCAAAGAAAATAGATATGATTTCCGTTGAAAACAATGACAATGGAAGTGTGTCGTTAATGGGCCACTGAGTTTATGATCTCGGTTTCTGAAGCCCAAATTCAATGAATGGGCTCGGAACTTTTTTTTTTTTTTTTGAAATCTCTTAACTCGCCTCATAAAATTGAAAAACACTCTATATAATCTCGAAAATGTTCTTGCAGAATCGGAAATGTATTTCTGGAAAGCACCTTTTTTTGCGCATACCTTAAAATCGGAAATACAGTTACAGGATAGAACCGTAAATGTATTTCTAGTTCCTATGCAGACAGTAGCAGAAAAGTTATGCAGACAATAGCCATTGTTTCATTATTTCGCATTTTTGAAACTACAAAATGAATACAAAGACATATATAAATATATAGCAGTATGTAATACAAAATTTGTTCGTAGTCGATAAAGGTGATAACCTAAAATATTATCCAACAACAACCCAAAAATCGATAAACAAAAAGCAATCCAAACCAAAATACATATACAACAACAAAGACTATTAGGTATGACGGACTATGAGTCGGCCCGTCCCCTTCCCGATGTTCCTCTGCTGCCTCATGTACTACAGATCCCCCTGAGCCTACGCCATGATGGCATCTAGAACACCTCTAACATCAGATCCATCAGGAAACAGACCTTCATCAATACCCGCCTACACAATGTCCATGATATGATGGCACCTAGGCAACACATTAGTAGCACGATCAGCCCTAGCCTACTCTTCCTCTAGAATCTTCTGATGAGCTGGTCTCGGTGGGTTTCCTGAAGCATCCTGTACTAGATATGGATGGGGCACCCTGAAGAACCATATGATATAACCGTCCACGTAGCTCCAGTCGTCTGGTGCTAAGGTACGTCGGGCCTCATCTGATATAAGATGATTAACATAATCATCAAACAAAGCATCCATATCCCTCCGTTTCACCAGGGGAAGAGTAGATACAACAAGATCTCGGGGAATATATTGCACGTACCTGAACTAATGCATGAGGCGCTCAAGCACATGCCTCGGGTGCCTCATGTGTCTCAGATTCCTGGGCCTCAGGTGCCTCTGGTGTCGGCTGGGAACCAAGTGTCTCTCCTGTCTCAAATACTATCGGTGAGGAAGTGCGTCTATGGAAGGACGGAGGCGAGGAGAAACAGGAACACCAGAGGCTATAGGCCCATCCGACACAGCCTGTTCAGAGGCAGGAGGAACCTGGGATGCCTGACTTCTTTCCCTCCATATAGAAGCATGTTGTGCAAGTCTGGCATGTATCAATCTAGATGGTATTTCAGCCATTACTCTTGTAAGAGAACGAAACGAACGTTAATAAAACTCATGTTCAAAAAAAATGGAAAATGCAAACTGACTAAAACTGGATATGCAGTTTTGGTTTTTGATGTAAACGTTGAACAAAACCGGAAATGCATATCCGATACAACCTGCAACTTTACAACTTCGTCAATGGCGAAGTTCAGCCCCAATGACCTCAAAAAAACAGTCATTAATCGTAAAAAAAAAAATACCTAACATGTTTCTTATGACTCCTAACATTGCAAACACTAAAGAAATTGATTTTTTGACCCTAAAATAGAATTTGTAGGTAAAATTACATAAACTCTAAAAAGCTCAAAAACAACTTATAAGTGATGATTTTTTTGCTTGAATCTGCTTGAACAGTGAACATTGTCAGATGCTTGATGATTCCCGATGAACTTTTCGTAAAATGGGATGATTTTGACACAATGGGGTTTGAGAGGGTTTGGTTTTTGGATGTTCAATGTTTCTTTTTTTAGATGGTTTTTAAAAATGAGGAAGGTAAAGAGGCAGCGCACGTTTGAGTGTCAACATGAACCGGAAATACAATACGGTTCCAACCGTAAATGCATTTTCAGTTTGTATCTGCGTGTTAGCTTGAGTTTCTCAGTCTTAAAAATTGTATGCATTTGGGACACTTTCGGAAATACAATTACAGTTCCACCTGTAGTTGTATTTCCGATAAGTTTTCAACTGATATATAGGGTCTCGTCCACCAAAATCCAAATTTTAGTGCGTATCGGAAGTGCATTTCTGATTTCCAGGGGCATTTTTGTATTTTCATGTGGTGCGCTAGAAGAGTATAGGGTGGGTTAAGTTGTTGTATTTTTTTTTCAATTTCTTTTCCCACATATAAAGTTCTCCCTAATCTCCAGCGAAAAGTAAAAAATGTTCCCAATTTTCAAGGATGCATCTCTAGACATCTCCAGGCGCGTCGTTTTCACACAAAATAAGCGCAAATAGTTTAGCTTCTCTCAAATTTCCAAAATTTAATTTGGAGATGCATTTTCGTATGTGTTTTAGGATTTATCCGCAGATGCATCTTCAGATTAACCCTTATTTTCAAATTCAGGTGTTTTTTCAGAGATGCATCTCCAAACGCGTTCAATTAATACATAACGTGTGCCAGACCCTCCTTCTTCTCCTTTTTCATTTTTTGAAACTTGTGAGATACCCCATTGGAGCTCGTGAGCAACATTCTTCCAGTCAATTTTTCAAGGAATAGAAGTACCTCTACTTCAACCTTTCCAATTCAAACTCACTCCACTTACTACATTCAACATTTTTCATCTTCATCAACACTTTTTGAGTAAGTTTCTCATTTAACTTTTTTTGAGTTTTGATTAATGTATTAGGTAAAATAATTAGTTTTAAATGAATTAGGTAGTATTCATATTTGAAATAGATAGTTGTTAGAGATATGCATAATGATTTTGGTTGTATTTTGAGTCGTTTATGTCATTGTTGCAAACATGAGCTTTTTCGGAGATGCGTCTCTAAATTATTTCCTTATTGGTTTTCAGAGATGCATATCCGAAAATGTCCTGATGTCTTTTTCTCGTTTTTCAGGAAAATGGCTGCAAACAACAACGCCAGAATGAGAATCGACCTTGAAATCTAGCACACGTTCGTTCAACGTGAGAGGGATAGACTTTAGAATAAGCAAGCCAGAGTTAGGCAGGGAACCGTTCCTAGGCCTCTTGACGGGGATGCATTGACTTCTAGGAGTCGCCTATCACACGGGTCCTCATCCTAGCGGCACGTCTCCTCTGCTCACGTTGATCGGGAGAAAGCATCTGCTACACATGACGGTGTCCCTCCACTTGCAGGCCCTTATCCAGGAGGGCACTTTGACATCTCATTACTGATATACTATAGAGTTCACGTTGTTGGGCATGTCTATACCGGAATGGTATATTTATTAACGATTGTTATTTATATGTTTTAAACAAATTCCATGTGATTGATATTATTATATTGTTTAACATAAGTGCTATTGTTTGAAGTATGTTAACCACAGTAGGAAGATTTTAAAGCTTTATTAACCTAAGGATAATTGGTTCTGAAGTGTCATCTGATACTCTGATATTGTCGGCTTGTGTTCCATCAGGTACAAAATAATTAGCCATGGCGTGTATGGGTTTTTTTTAGAGATGGCATAAGGAAATGTCATATTTCCACTTCTCTATTAGTGAGATGGCGATTACACTAAATGACGTTGCTTGCCTCTACATCTTCCCATCAGGGGGAAGTTACTTGCTGAATTTCAGGCACTTTACAAAACAGGTGTCGAATACAATGTTAAGACATCACAGACCAGATAGTTAATAATAAGAAATAATGAATGAAGTAAATAACATAATTTAATTGTTAACCCAGTTCAGTGTAACTTCACCTACATCTGGGGACACCCAAGTCAGAAAGGAAATCCATTATAATAGTATTAGTTTGAAGTTCTGACCAACCCCTATTTTACAAACTTCTCACCTAATCACTACCCATGCAATTTCTACCTAGGAACTCTTAGATATGAGACCCCTATCACTTCCCATAGACACAAACCAGTGAAAAGTACAACCAAGACAATCAAAATAAAAGATACACTTCCAATTAAATAGAACACACTACTGCTTCACAGCTTATGAGTGCTTCACAAATTACAACTCAACTAAAAAGTACAACTCATGTATCAACAAGATACAAGAGTGGCTAACAATGAATAATCAACAACAAAAAGATGAAACCCTAAAGTCTATACTCTCAGGTGCATCTTCGTCACTTCTTTAGGTTTACAATGCTTCTTTTTATAGCAACAAAAACATTTGGGCTTGGATATTAAATTTGTCCAAACAAATATTATGCAAATCAAATCAAATCAAATATTCTGGTGCATAAAGATATGTTCTCAATAATGTTTTGACATTATATTTTGAGAACTAAATCTTTATATATTTTCGGCTTAAAACAAATCTTCAGTAAATCAAATATTCAAATGCGTTGCTTGGTCCACAAGGAACAACAATAAAATCTTGTAAACCACAAAACAAATCTTCCAAAACTGGAAAGGTCACAACTGCAATGGCGTACTAACATGTCACGACATCTTATCTAACATCTTGCTAAACAAACCAAAACCTAACAATCTCCCCCCTTCGGCAATATTTTGGCTAAACAAGATAGATAAAACCATAAAACAACATTACTTTAAAGTGACAATAATTTACAACCACAAAGTAGGAACTAAACTAGTTCACAAACATCAGAGGTGTATACAATAGAAACAAAGCAGCCCTTCGTAAAAATAGATAAACTCTAACAAATGCAATCAGAGAGAAACAAATCTCTCATACACAATGATACAAACATGATGTCATAACATCAGGTGTGACATCTCACGCAGCTTTAGAGACAAACAAAGAAACAAAAAATTCTCCAAACAACCAAAAAAATTTCTAAACCAGATGTCTAGACAACAAGTGTGATATCAAGCACATAAAACATAACAGAAATAAAAAGATAACAAGGTAGAACATACTGCCCCCCCCCCCCCCCCCCCCCAAACAG